TGGCGTCTCAAGTACTGACAGGCCTTGGTTTTATAGTGAATCTCTGCAGCGAAGTTAAACTGTGCACAAATCACTGCAAGTCCTTTGGATATCAATACGGCATCTGCATGAAAGTGAAAAACGCAGGGAAATATTCACCACTGAGTTGCTGGTGTAGCAGAGACCAACACAAATGGCACACTCCTCCTCTAAAGTGCAAGTCACCCGGCACCAGACCGAGGCATTAGAACTTTTTACATGCGATGAACCTGTTTAATTTCCTTCAAACGATTAATAGTGTTGTTGTTATTGTTTCGTTAAAATGAAATTTTTTTGTTTCGTGATCTGGTGTTTAATTCAGTTCAGACTATGTAAGCTTTCTCGAGAGAATAAGACAAGTTTCCACAACTCATAAGTACGTATATCCATACATAAAGCATTTGCACTAGAATAAAGTGAAACATTCAGGTCGACCCCAACGCTACTGCTGTACGCATTCACTTCATACTTGAGCCTATGCTTCTGTACCACTTAACACTGTTAATGCTTGCTGCGCTAGATTCGCAGGTATCCATTTGAGAGACGTTTTGCCAAATGAGATTACAGTTAAATCGTTTGGATTTTGTATTTGCAGCAAACAAAATTTTAGTGTTCGTAAGGTTGCCTTTATACCAAGTAGGCGACATAACAGTCTTGTTTTGCCCTTTAAATATCTTAAACATTCTGAATGGGAGGGCAGAAAAAATTTGCATACCAGTAAGCATTACTGTATTTTTACAAGGTTAACGGTCAGTTATGACCAGAAAGGCCCATGACCGGATCCCACTCAACAGTCTGTGTTCATGCCCTCGAGCAAACGGGATAGATGACCAGCTGCTAAGTGCCATCCAACCACTGTATTCTGATAGCAAGTGCTGCGTCAGAATAAATGGCGGCAAGTCGAAACCATTCAACGTTCGCACTGGTCTCCGCCAAGACTGCGTCCTGTACCCCATCCTGTTCGTGTTGTACGTGAATAAAGTAGTCAGGATCAATCAAGGTGATCAGTGTATCGATGTAGGAGATGTGAAAACGAGAAGGTTGCTGTTTGCAGACGACCTTGATTTATTGGCTCCTTCTGAAAGAAGATGGTTTTCAGTGCTCCCTGAAAAGGTTCAGCGACGTGACCGGCATGCACGTGAATGCATCTAAACCAAAAAGCCTAGCATTTTCTCGTTCCCCTGCCCGTTGTTCTTTTTAGATTAACGGAGAGGCAGTGGAGCAGGTGGAGAAGTTCAGGTACCTCAGAGTTGTATTTACTAGTGATGGAAAATTGGAGGAAGAAATCGACCGGCGAATTGGAGTAGCCAGTGGTGTTCTGCGTGAACTAGCCCGACCCATTATGACTAAACTAAAGAGCTCAGTCTGAAGAGTAAGCTCTCAATATTCAAGTCGATTTTTATCCCCATACTTACCTACGGTCATGAATCGTGGACCATCAGTGAAAAACTTCGAACCCGGGTACAAGTCCCTATACTTACCTACGGTCATGAATCGTGGACCATCACTGAAAAACTTCGAACCCGGGTACAAGCTGCTGAAGTACGGTCATGAATCGTGGACCATCACTGAAAAACTTCGAACCCGGGTACAAGCTGCTGAAATGGGCTTTCTTAGACGAGTCACTGACCTGACGCGTCTCGGCATGGTCCGGAACACTGACATCCGGTAGAGCATTGGTGTATAGCCTGTGCTTTTCCAGATTGAGAAATCACAGCTGCGATTGTCTCCAGAAAGGAAAGCTAAGCAACTGTTTCTTGCGAAACCGACGTCAGAATGCCCACGGGACGGCCAAGATTAATCTGGTGCAAATATATGGAAGGTGTCTGTTCCAGACTCCAGTTGTCTTCTACCGAAGCTCAGACTCTGGCACAGGATCGGGAATGTTGGAAGCTGCCTGACTGGGCGACCCGAAAGCAGAAGCGGCGATGGAAGATGAAGATAAACGGTCTGATTCATAAATCTGCTTTGACACAACGAACCTCTTGAGTAGCAGGCCTCCAGAATGTGATATTCGTTGTTGCAACGCTCATATTATGAGGCAGTGGTTGCAGCATTGTGGAAAATATAGCTCATCACTGAAAACATCTCCCTTAGAACTGTCAATCTCTGTTGTCTGCTAGCCCTTCTATCGATTCCATGAAAATCTCACGGGCTGGTTTCACTGGATTAATGTTCAATCTAACTAACATCCATCTTGTCTAACCAACATCCATCTAACAATCCAACTTGTCTAAGAGACAACTACATTCCCTTAATTTCCTATTCTTCTGAATATACCTGTTCTCAGAGAGACAATACCACATAATACGGACCTCGCCGAGGCAAAGCAGTGAGCAGACGAGTGAAGGCGTTGCAGTTAAAGTCAATTATTCTACCTAAGTCTGATTGACTGATATCATCCTTGGTATCAGAACCGAAATAATCTGGTTAACCTCTTCTACAGTTTTACTTCCCATTCAAAAGTGCAGATTTGCTGTGCCGGGGAGACTCCTCATAACTTCTGACTCAAAGGCGTTAAGTTAGAGGCCTTGACAAACAAAGCGGCAATGCATAATAAAGAAACCCGTTTTCCATACGCACTTCAGGGCAGTATCATCTGCGCCTCCCAGATCAACTATCTGACTGGATACCAAATACATTTTAGGACACCCTTGTCTTGGTTCAACGGCAGCTTCATTCCTTTTCTCAGAACGATGTCCAATAGCGAAGACGAAAATACATCAACCTCCACGATTAATAGGGAACATCTCAGATGGAACTCCTATAACATGGTTCCATCACACATCTCTTTCAAAATGGAAACGCGTTCAAGTACACGTAACTGTCGAATGATACACTGAATCAACGCAAGTTTAAAATCTATTGAAGTGCAACTGAAATTATCTAAATTTTTTATATAGTAAAGGAACAAATAACTGGTTTATGCATGAGCACTTGATCTGGAAATTTGCCTAACTTGGGTGGTTTTCTATCAGCTACATATATTTCAACAAAATTTATGGGTAGCGCTTCCTTTAGAAGAATATACCAAGCGGCATAAATGATGTTATATATTACTTTCAATTCGTTTCCTCGCATCCTTGAATCAGTGATGACCGCCTATCTAACCGGCAACACAACCAGGTTTGCCTCATGGCTCACTGACTAATGATTTACCTGCAGCATGAGAGCACAACAGTAACCGCATTTCACTGTTTCTTTTCGTATTCCACTTGAAGAAATTCCGAGATACAGACCAAAATGTCGATACTGATCTCTCACCTGACAGATCCTGTAGTGCGTTGTGCAAAATTAATCGGTTTGTGTATTTCTATTTCAACATGGTCAAGTACTTTGGATTCTGTTTTGATGTAGTTAACGAACCGTAATCCTATTTTATACGGTACAAAATATGGACATACTTCACCATACTTTTTAAAAATATTATAGACGATGGCTTCAATCTTTAAATAAAAACTGCTAAGCCAAACCTAAAATGGTACTAATGACTCTGTACAAAGTACACAGCCGAACACAGATGAGCTGTCGCTGCATAAAGACAAAACTTTCGAGGCAAACGCAGAGGAGCGGTGTTTCGAAATGAGTATATCGGTAAGAAACATACAAACGGCATGAAAAAAACTTCATTAAGAAAGTATACAGTCACGCAATTACATCGGAGATTCGCTGCATGCTGAGACCACTGTTATCTTAAACAACAAAAGCTTAACAATGTCATGCCTAAGCAACAATAACAAAAAAAACCCAACAATGAGTTCATAAATGTCAAAGGTCGAACAGCCAACCATACACATGAAGAGCTAATGAAACGCGGACTGGCTGGCTGATCACTGCTCAAAAACGGTGTAATTTACAGACGCAGAAACTTCCAGTTAGCAGAATCGATTCGAGAGCGACTTGCAGCATTAGTCAAACGACATCAGAT